TAGGCCTCATAACCTGTGAGCCATGGAGATTTTTTTATTGTTGTGCATCAAGAGCTTTAGAATATTCACTGCTCTCTGATTACATGCAAATTTATTCTGGTTTTTGTAGTTCAGTCATAGCTAAAGACTGATGTTGGCTAAAGTGATTTTGATATTAAGTTCCTGTTTTCTTTGGAGATGTGTAGAATTTTAACATTTTCTTCTTGTTACTTGGTGGTTTGTAYGTCTTTTAGCCCCAAATATGAAAGGTTTGGACAAGAGACAGTCAAAATAGGGATGTGTTTGAGTAAGATCTGTCTACTAGCTAGATAAACTTGTGGGAAGATGCTGCTTGRGCTTTGAGGAATTTAAGTGAATTCAGCCACTGCTGGTTTAATTTTTTTGTGTTAGGTGTTTACCATCAAGCGTTGTGATGTTATTGGAAAGAGCAGGGGAAAGCACTTAGGAATATACTGGCAATAATGACTAGATAGTGCTTTTACTGTTCCAGAAAGCTGTGGTTTTGTGGTTTGAGGACTGGGCGCTATGGTTTTCTTTTGCCATTTTTTAAAGAGTTTGGAAAGCTTGGAAAGTTTTCAGTAGAAAAAAAAACTGTCAATAGAACAAGCTGTTCTGGAGCAAGTGGAAAGACTAGGTTCATGGTCTTTTTCTGGTATCTTTTCTGGGCTTTTCATAGTAAAGCTGACTTAATCAAAGAAGCTGCATTTTAAAGGTTGTAGATTGAAAGCAAACAGAAAATGGGTATTTTTAGCATTTRTGTCTATATATTCTGTTAATAGTGACCTACTGTCTGAAAAGAGGAAAYGAAGAATACACAAGCCAGAAGCTGAAAAAATGTGACCCTGAAATCATGTAATATCCTAGTAATGAGAGTGATTKAAATTGTTACAGAGTCTCATGAATCTGTTACATTTGCTTTTTGAGGAAGCTTGAAAGGATGGATTTTTTCAGTTGAGAAGTTTGTGTATAACTCTCAGAAGAAAGTATTCTGTTCAGCATAGGTGAAAAGGAAAAGAGRCTATGGTTCTTCTGGCCTTGAAATGTGTGGATATGAATATGTATCTTTTTCCTTCTTTGGTCCATGAACATTTAAAGTTTGACTAACAGCTATTATAATTAGCCTTCAGGGCTTCAATTGCCYATAGGGCCAGGAAGAAATTATTTTCTTAACATGTAATTTGGCTTCTTGGCTGCTGATTTGTGCAGCAGCGCATCACACTGGGACAGCTGAGCGGCTTCCTACCCCAAATATTACGTCGTGCCCATCTTGTAGCACTCACCAGTCATGTGGCAGGGATGACTGAAATGGCACGGGCAGCAGTTAATTTGCTGCATTTTACTCTTCCAGAGTATTAAAGTATTTGCTACAGTATTAGACTGCTTGTGGACAATGATGGTATCACCTAAAGCTTTGGGAAGAGATTTTTCCAGGAGAAATTGTTAGAGACTGCAGAAAAGAGTCATCTCCCTCTGTAGCATGGGGAATTGTTCACCAAATAAAGCATACCCAAATGATCTCATACTTAATTACTTACAGTGACTTTGCTCATTGCTAATAACTTATTGTCTATTGGGGACATACCTGTTTTGTGTAAAAGGACAGACAAAACTGTTTTCTGACTTGCATTGCAAAGTGTATGAACTTGCTTAGGTCAGGTAGCACAAGTGCAAAAGGTGAGCAACTGATTCTAATTTCTGAAYGGACAAAAAAATACCCAGAAGGGCACTGTCAGCATTTCACTTTGAAGAAGACTTTGTTCTCTCATGCTGGACAGTTTGAGAGCTGCTCTTAGAGGGATTCTGSTGATTCTTTATGACTCGTCAGAGGACGTTTTTCTAAATGTAATTAGCTTTGCCTCATTTGAATGAGGTGACTTGTTGCTACAAGCTTTCATCTCATGGAAGGTATATGTATTTACTTGCCATTTCCTTGCTTTGATGAAATTACCAATGAAGAGAAACACAGGCTTRAAAGTTAGTCTGAACCAAAGTAAAAGGTACAACCACAGCAACTTCATMATTGTCTCGGTTGAGATGTGCCTGCTGTGAAATGGCCAGCAGCCAGGCTTTGCAGTGCATCTGACTTCACCTAGCACTGTCATCTGCTCTCTGAAAACATTTCTTAAATGATATAATGATGAATGGCACTTCTATTTAACAGTGTCATCTGCTCAAAATGTTCTGTAATGTCTGTTGCTTTGTTCATAAGTTGTCTCAAAGATGAAATAACAGGAAAAGTGGCTGGAAAATTGTTTGGGTTTACAGAAGGTCTGTCTGAATTTAAGATGCTTGGGTAGAAAGCTTGGACTAATTTTTGGGGGACTTCAGTGTGTGTTATCCTTGTGGAAGAATCGTTGCTGCTTTCTGCTCTTTGTACTGATGGTATATCATATTTAGATTGGGGGAAAGCCTCAAACGTTAAGAATTTGTGATTTGATGAAATAGCCTTTTATGCTTTGCTGGTTGTTGATAGATTATTTACTCAAAAAGGTTGTTTTCTAAGGATTTTTTTGTGTGTTTGATTTCACAATCAAGTGCTGTGTATTCTTTATTTCCAAAGCAGAGATCTAGAGAGCAATAGAATGCCGGAAAGTCCAACCTCATAGGTGCAATTCTTTTGATTAATAGGAAGGTGTGGTTGTATCTGTAATTTTTTTTTTACTTGTGGTTGCTGAACTTGCAATAAATCAAATACATGAGAAAACATAATTTCATTCTGTATTTCTCCCTGAGTTAAAAATTGAGAATTTGCACTCAGTGTCAGTTAATCTGTGATTTGGGTTTCTTGCACAGAGGATAAGCATGACATTTCTGTGAAATCACGATTAACTGTTGTACTTTGCATTTTAACCTAACATGTGAAAGCTTCATTTTCTTACACCTTGCACTGCAATTCACTGACATATTTTTTTTGTTATTTTAAAACCAAAATTAAACAGTGCACTGAATGTCTTGCATCATATGTATTGCCAGTTAAATTGAAAAGGATTTGCTTGTTCTTTGTTCTAGCATTAAACTTTAAACTATTCCAGTGATTTTAAGTTGCAATAGCCCAAACTTTCATAAACTGTAGGATTCTGATTGTAACAGCTTTTTAAATGCTGTTTTTGTTTGYTGGGGGTTTTTGTTTGTTTTTTTAATCTCTTGCCCTATGTTCTTTATAGCTCTTCAGTCATAAATGATTGACCAAACTCTTGATTCTTGGATCAGGGATGGATTGTGTTTGTTTTGGGTGATGTTAAGTTAATAACAATAAACACACAGACGAAAATACTAAGGTATTGCTGACACAATTGACTAGGACTTCTCATGCCGCWATAAATATTGCAGGACATGCGTATTGTTTATAATCTGAGCTCCCACTTTGTCCTCTGTGGTGATTCTCACACTTCACCTGATCTTGACCACTTTCTCAGCCTGTGGCACTTTAGAAATATGAGGTATGGTAGCTTGAAAAGTAATTGTATAAAACCTTGCTGTTTAGGGATTTTGTTCAATTTTTTTTTCTTTTTTGTGTGCTAAGAGTTTTGGAGATGACAACAGCAATGTTTGTTTTATCTTAACTTTTACTTTGGGTCATATGAAAGCAAGGTTGTGGAGCTTGTGCCTTTAAGAAGGTATCGAGGTGTTTTGGGAAGTCAAGTAATGCGTAATGGGATTTGCAAACAGTGGTATGTTRAGCAGCATAGTGAATTTTGGGTACTGAGTGATGTGTCACCAAAGCAGCCAGTGAGGAAATGTTTGGGACAAATATTTCTCAAAACTAAGGTTTCTTCTGCATGGTAGGTGCCTTTACTCCCGTGTGCCAAGATTGCTTTTTGGTTTCTGAAAGTACTGRCACTTTTTCTTTTAAAGCATCATAGAGTGCCCTTGTTGGTAACCTTATAATAATTGTTTTCGTTAGAACACTGAGCTTCAAAGTCTTAAACTTTAAACCTCCTTTTTCAGACTGGGATTCAAAATCCATCTTCCAGAAGCCTGCACTGTGCTTCTGTGTGCTGGGAAACCTTTAATTTCTTCCTGTTGAAGTTGTTCCTCATTGTGGAAAGAGAGGTGTATTACCTCTCGCTCAGGTTCGTGTAGCTTGAATGGCAAATGGTAAAGACAGTCACAGAAAAAGGATGTAGGGTAGAGGAGATGTTATTTACATGGCACTTTCATTTTTTCAAATGCAGTTTTTTTGTTTGAGGTTGTTACTGCATTGTACTCTAAAGGTCTGCTTTTGTGTRTGTGTGAGAATAGATTTTTGGGGAGCAAAATGTAGAACTCTGAACTTTTAAAATCATATTCATTTTTGTTCAGTTCATTACATTTTACAGGAAGGGCAATGCCATTATTTCTTTGTCTTTAGAAGGAAGTAGCATTCCCTACATTTTAAGAAGAATTGAAAAACAATTGCCTGGCCAAACATGAAGGGGAAATAAGTGGAGCATTTGAGGATCATGTATGTGACTGAGATATGAACTTTTCATGAAGTTTAGTCTTATGGTGCAAACACTTCTAAACTGTTTCAAATTTTAATGTTACCGTCAAGATGGAGAGGTTTGTTGCTATGCCAAGGATTAGTGTAAAGGAGGCTTTCCAGATGTACCGTTAAGATTTTTGGTGTGTAAATGAGAAAAAGAATCTTTTTTTTCTGGACTCTTTGTGGGCTTAGATATATTAAACTCARTTGTTCAGGTACCCAGCCTGTCATATTCGTTGAAGTAGGGAGTTAGCTTGCTACAGTCACTCTTTTTAGGGACCTCAGAAGAAGTTTTTCCCTYTGGATTTAAACATTTTAAAGCTAAAAGACTAATTTGCCAAGTGTGATACTTCTTGAGGAAAATTACTGTCACAGATTTGTGTTTGGTATTTTATTACATTTTGCATTATTTTGCTTTGTCAAAGCTCTGTCTACAAAATGAGATACAACAGATTTTGGAWGTTTAAATTGTTCTTTTGATTTAATAACAAAATGGGTTTTGTTAAGTTACTTAGTTTTTTGTTTTTCTTTGCAGCTTTCATCCAGTCGGATGGCATAATAGAAATGCTACGTTTTGATGAAGGAGACCTATTGCAGGTATGTGGTCTGAGTAAATCATCTGAATTAGCCATGTTTCATTTTTGATAGCTGCTTTTTGAAACTCATRGGTTAATGGAGTTCTGAAAGTAATCAAGCATTAAGCTCAAATCTGTAGAACCTTTGGACTTGCTGAAGTTATTTTCAGCAGTATTCTTTGGTGTGTCCAGAGGTTCTGGTTCTTTGATGTTTTGTGTTGGGAAAACCAGTGGATTTTGCCACAGGTTCTCTCTGGCCTGTTTGTCCAGTTCTTTTTTTCTCAGAAAAATTGAGGGATACTTTGTGTTTAAGACTCATCTCGTTTTAGGGTTGGGATGCAGTTGGCTTACTCATCTGTAGGAACTGCAACTGTTGCAAGATTTCCAAAACTAAAGTCAGTTCTTGGGACAAGGCAGTACTTGGGACCAAGTTACCACTGGGTTTAAAGAACTTCTAATTACTGCAGTAAAGTAGCTTCTGTTGCAAATAGGTTTTTTTTTCATGTATGATGTTGCCATTCCKGTCAGTTTTCTTTTGGTGTAAATCAAAACAGGAATAAAGTTACATTTTAAAGAATATATGCTGAAATTTTGGGATAATGGTACTAGTTGGGAGGACATGCATAGCAACATGCCTTGATATTAGACCAACATGGCTCTGAAGTTCTATTGACTAGGATTTCATATGTATGCATTTTGTGGATTGTATGTATGTTGAGAATATTTTTCTTTAAATTTCTTGATGGTGGTAGTCTACTACTTGAAAGGGAGCAGAGGAGTTATCAAGGCAGTTCTTGATTTATAGCTCCTAACTCCTATCTAGTCTAGAAAAATTAATGTATGCATCAACATATTATGTGTTTCAGATTTGTGATGGTGTCTTTTTTTTTTTTTACCCCTGCCTACCAAGTTGTTTGGGTTGTTTTTTTTCTTTCTTCACTGCTTTGTCCTTAATGTAACTCAAGAATATCTTACTACAGAGTATCTTACTACAGATGTTAAGACTATAATGTATGATACTTCAAAATTATGTAAACCGGTGACAGGAAACATTGCAGTTAAAATGCAATAAGAAAACCCAAATACAAACCCCTCAAAAAAAAAAAAACCCAAAAACATAATGTATGATACTTCAAAATTATGTAAACCGGTGACAGGAAACATTGCAGTTAAAATGCAATAAGAAAACCCAAATACAAACCCCTCAAAAAAAAACCCAAAAAAACAAAACAGAAGAAAAACCAACCAAAAACCCTGCCATCAAGCAAACAAAAATTCCCTAGCTTCCTCACTAGCCAGTTGTATTAGCTGTCATGTACTAAGCATATTCTCATTACAGATAATCGTGTAGGTTTATGTTTGGACATAAAGTGTAGAGAGTAGTGGAAGTTTTCCATATAGTGGTTACAGTCTCAATTATTAAAGCTTGACTCTGATTATTTCTTTAACTTGCATGGAGATACCACATATCACCATAAATATAAAGGAAAAAACTTACAAGGCTTAGTTTCTTTCTTTTACATATTCTAATAGAATATATTTTGTTTAACACAAGTGGTTTAATAAAAAAAGACACATCATTGTCCCAGTGTAYAAGGTAAAGATGATGTCATCACATTCACTCATTTATATTTTAGGTGTTCCTTTTTCACCAGGATTCTTTTTTATAAACTAATTAAAATTAATCTTACAAATCTGTAATTATCTCACTCATTTTAGCCTTCYATTAATCATTAGTTCTTAAACTAGAAAGTAATGGTACTGCTGTGAGCCACTCAATAAGTCAAATACAGATGGGAAAGTTAAAGGGTTGTTTATTACACTAACTGTTGCAAGATGCAATACTATGGTGGGACAAAGTCAAGCAATTCTGCATGTTGCACCATAAAATTTGCAGGGCTTAGAATTACATTGGGCTACCACTTCCCTTAATATGTTGCTGAATGTTTGATTTAAAACAAAACGAGAGAGACAAAATTTCTGGTAAGTGGTTTGTATGTTTTGTATTATGGTTGTGGCTCTTAAGCCAAACATACCTACTTAAGTGGAACTGCTTACTTTTAATTAGAATGATAGCATATGCTGTTTTCTCTATATTAAAATTATTTGGGTTTTTAATGTAGATTTTAATATGGTGACCTCTTGTGACTACTTACTGCAATTTAATAAAAAAGCAATTACACTGTTGTAAAGCCAGACTTATGTCTTGTGAACAGCAGTTACTAAAGTATTAAACCTACTGTGATGTCACTGGTTTCTCTTTTGGGCTTTCCATAAGCTTTCACAAATGTTTGTTGTTTATTACAAATCCCATGATGTAGTAGTAAACCAGTATTGTCTAATGTTATGTCACCTTCAAGTTATTTCTTTTAATATAAAAAATAACCAATTCMGTGCATGAAGTGACTAGTAATCATTGAGGTATCAAAGCTATCYCCAGTCTTGGTTTATCCCTACTTCRCCCMAGAATTTTGTATCTTTAGAATGGAAGCAAGCTTTTTCATTGTTTAAATACTTGCTTTCTAGGTAAGGCAAATCAAATGCCAAGCCTTGAATAATTTTATTGTTAGGGATTCCTGCCACCTCCTTCCAGTTACTGTCAACCCTCTTGATACTGTTTTTTTGTACTTATTTGGAGTTTATACTGTTGGTGAAATACTCATTATTTATTTCTGTCACAATTTAGGAATTTTGTCATAAAAAATAAATGAAATGTGTTGAAAAGTTTGGTTTGACCAGTCTGACTGAAAATAGCTATTTATTGAAAGAGAGTAAATCTTTAACTATTTAAGTAGAAAAACATTTCATTGCTAAAAATAAACTGACAATGGAAATTTCATGAGCTCATGCTCCTGAATAACTGGCAAAAGTAGAGATTGTACTCCYTGGTTGTGGACTTAGAGTTTGTGACTTAGTGCAATATCAACCTAATGTCTTGCCAGAGCAAAAGTGAGAATGCTATTCTTTCTGATTTGTGTTCAGATTAAAGGTTTATATCTAAATAAATTTATGCCAGTTCTGCCCATGGATTACATTGAAACTGTGAGAGGATTTCTTAATTCTGTCTAATCACATTGATTGGTCCCTTTAAGAACTCAACTGTTTGAAATCTTCAAATAATTTAGAACCTGAACATASGGTAAGAATGTAGTATTAATGTAAATTCAGTGTAGGGTTTGGCTTTTTTCCAGAGCAGGTGGTTTGCAGATGTCTGTATAGTTGTTTGTCACTTCAGGGGCATAGATTTGGTTGATTGTAATGGGCCTTAGGAGATCGTGTATATGTTTTTCAGGTGGTAGTGTGTGTAGATGGGCTGTGCCTGGCAGGTGCTTGGTTCTTCTATTCTTGAAACCTGTAGAGAAGTATATACTTGTTTCATGCCTAAGCTGGTTTTGATGCTGCTTTTTTTTCTCAAAATTGTTAATTTGGGTTTTTTTGTTAGGTTGTTTTACCTCTTCATGATAATCTTATGTTAAAATCTACCTATAGCTTCTTCATGCAAGTTTTTTAAAACTCTCCACTGGATTATTTGTCGCTACTTAAAGTGTAGTGTTTATTTGGGACATCGTGCTCAGAGAGAGGACAGAGTGGTTCTTTCCCTGTCTAGTAACACTTGTTTTAATAAAAGAGTTGTAAGTTCCTGACAGCATTTTGTTTGCTTGTATAGTTTGTATTTCACTGTGCTTTCCAGGCACATTATTTTCTTTAGCATGYTGTCAGTTGTTCCCTTCCCAGTTTTACGTTTAAGCTCTCCTTCAGCTGAACTTMACAGTGTCAGTGTCAGGCCATCTCCTCCATGTGGTCTGATTATTTGAACTCTTGTCCAGACCTGACAGATGCTTCATGTCTCTGACAATGATGTCATCTGCAACTATTAGGAGGGCTGAAATAAACTACAACTGTTACTTTTAAATTTGTACTTTCATGTTAAGCCAACATGCTGTCTCACTTTTTGAGGACTTTACTTTGAAAAGCAAACAGTAAAGGAAAATTTATTTTTTGGAGCAAAGTTTTGTTTTTTTTTTTTGGTTAATAAGTGTCTACTTCCCAGGTAATTCTGTTTGTTGTTAGATACTTTGCCTTAGGTATCTAATATTCTATTGCACAGTGTAGTTGGGACCACTGTTTTCTAGAGTGAATTTTTTTTTGTGCCGACTAAGCATTTATAAAGCACTTCTGCATATGTAGTAGTGTCTTTAAAGTAGTATATTGCTAAAATGAAAAAGGAAAGCGTTGTGACTTTTTAGTCAAATTATCTTAACATGAATCTTCTGCAGTAATATTAAGTGTATRAAATAATTTTTTACAGATAAACTCCTAGAAATTATTTTACTGATAGTTACTGGTTTGCAAAATAGCTGAAATAAGGAAAAATGGAAAACCTATGTGCTTATATATACCTAACACATATTTTCTGTCTGTTCATAAACTGCTGTAAACTGCTTGTTACAAAGACTGGTAGTGAGAATTACAATGGTCTTCCATGTGAAAGAGACAGGACTTTAACATGACTTGCAGTGGCTTTATAACACAGAAGATGTGGAACCAAATTACCTTTGTGGTACTCAGAGATGTTGATGTCTTACTGGAGAGCAGATTGGCCAAAGTAGCTGTTACAGTGGAAGGCAAGGCTCCTATTCAGAGGGACTTCAGCAGGCTGACAGCTAAGACAAATGCAAGGTCTGCACCTGGGAGGGAACAGCCCTGTGTGACAGGATTGGCTGGGCCACAACAGCAGCGCCGCAGAAAAGACGTGGGGTGGTTCTGATAGGCAACAGGTTGAACATAAGTTGTCCAGGTGCTGTTGTAGACAAGACAGCTGCCAGCCTGCTGAATTGTGTGAACCCAGAAGATAAGGGGTGTGATTTTTCCCCCACCGGCAGGGGTGCAGCTGGAGTATAGTGTCCAGCCTGGAATACCCAGTGTAAAGAAGGCACTGACATACTGGAGCAGGCACAGCAGAGGAAGAATACCAGATGATCGGGGGCTGGAAGGCTTTTCATCTTAGRACATATCTTTTCA